CTACTACCTCAATCGGTTCATCCGCAAGCACGAGGCTAGGGTTCGAGCCCACCCAGTCTTGCAGTAGAACTTTACACTTTGCAGGTGTGAAGCGCACGCCGAACCGCGAGGCAGAATTATTTAGATTATTTAATATTGTTTGCATTACAACGTGGGTCACGATGACCGACCAAAAGAACTGCGGAGTGGCGGTTTTGTACGGGTAGTTCCCACTTAATGGAGGCATCGAGAGTTTTCATCCATACAAAACTCGGGAAACAGATACCGCAAAATTTTTGGTAAAATCGGTAGGGGATAGAATAGTGCACACAGTCAACGGCCTGCCTTGTCAGTATTTCATTTGTGCATGTCACCCGTAGTAGATGTGAACAAACTAACCTACGCAGAAGGTGAATAAGAGCCTAATTTATGTGTGAACGATATGGGTATTGACCTTGCGATCAACCGGGCTTTAAAAAAGCGCACCCACTGATTGAAACATACGAATAGTTTGGCTTCTTTTGAAGGAATGGCCAAGACAGATCAGAAAAGCTGGCCCCTGGAGGTAGTATCTTCAGGGCTTTATTATTTTATTCATATTTTAGAAGATCGCCTGAGATCTGTCGGCACAGAGGTCATCTTTCTAGAAGAAGTGACCGCATAAGGTTCCAACTTTGTACCAAACGTTCACGGGATCCCCACCGGCCTTCGACAGACGCCCAGGGGCTCAAAAACTTAAAGTTAAGGTCTCACGAGTGATAGCCACAAATGTTAATCAAAATGCTCGAGCTGTGCCAAAACCTAATACTGAATATCCCCCTTCCAAAGTGTCTCCCATTAAAAATGATGGAAAGAACTTGGGTGCTATAATGCAGACGTGTCATGACATATCATGCCAACAGGACTAGGATAAATTCGTCGCCGAATTCCATTTCGCTTATCCTCTTCATTCTAATTATGAAGAAAATGAAGAACAAGCACAATCTTCGGCTGGCTATGAGTTTACCATTGTACACGAACAAAATAAACCCGACTTTTTAAGGAGTGAAGATCAAAATAGTTCATCCCCTTGAAGGGACACGGAATCTTGCCACACCGCAGTCGATTAAAATAATGGCAAAACATGGAAGAGTCAAACATGACTTGACTTCGGATGAGAAAAAACCAACTTAGGCATCTGATGCACCTACCTTCATCAGACAGAACGACTACGGGGATTGGTGTGAAGAGAAATTAAATTCGCATGGTGTAGAATGACAATCCCATAATAAAGACACATATCAGACACCTTCAAAGCCGCGAAATAATCTGAAATTAGAAAAAAATATCGTAAGAAACCATACTGAAGATAATCATGACCAATTGCTAAGGTCCTTTGTCCACATTTTATTGCCCTCCTTTAACTGTTTTTTATTTGACCAACCTGGCGCGTCTCATTTAAACTCCAGAGCATAAGCAACCGGAGTACAAGGTAACCCTTGTCTTACAAATAGTGACAGCTGTTCCTCGAAACCTGATGGGGAGGTCCAGCAGTGAACAGATAGTGAACGTATCCATCATCGCCAGAGACGGCACAATTAGTGTTGACTCTGATGCTTCACTATCGGATAGAATTGCCTGTTCGGTTTGAGGTACTTGCCAGGGCCAACCGTTGCACGGAGGACGTGCGTTTCCAGACTGTCGGACGTCTGTGACTTGAAACTTGACCGTACAAACATTTATTGCACGCAAAGACTGCAGTTCTCCCTGGGCGTGTATCCATCAACAATGCTGAGACAGTTTTAAACCGTGATGAATTTTGTCATGAATGAAGAGGATATAAAAGGAATAGGTCAAAGATTGCTTCGGACAGATAGCTGAGACAGTACGAAATGAACTGCCCCTGGAATCGGAAACAACGAAGCAAGTGCGATGGCCGGACCACCAGTGAACCTAAAACGGAAAGTTAGGTGGTGGGGGTTCGAAAATAAATCAATTCAACGAAATGGCCGGACCACCAGTGAACCTAAAACGGCAAGTCAGATGGTAGGGGTTCGAAAATAAATCAAATAATCAATAAAACAATCAACGAATTAATTTATCAGCTACAAACCGTGTACCATAGGCACATTGGTTCCAGCGTTCGAGCAGTGACCACCAGGTCCTCCTCTCCTGACACCCGACCAATCAGAGTGCAAGCAACTCGCCATCCATATAACCTGCATGTCAACCAAATAGCGGAGTCCTGAGATGTAGACTCATACCTATACGCACTATTCACTAGGTTTACAAGCGTAAACAATGACAGGACCGTTCAGATAGCTTAGGAAAGTACAAAAATCCACCTCGATTGGAACATTACGGCCACGTGCGCCATCATAGGCTTTTGATATAACTCATAGGTAACAAAGAGACATATTCACAAACCGTTGTAGTCACCTTATACATACTATCTGATCGAGTTCCTGGCTTCTGCTATAAAATAGTTGATCAAACGCACACATGAAAAACAGCGTGAAAATTAAAAGATTTGGAAGCGCCAACAAAAGGGATATTTTTCGATGCTGCATACCACAGTGAAATGGAGTCGGTGAGGAATTCAACCAAGCTCATAAGGATGGTATGAAGCGGATGCTAAACCACAAGCAGTGGAGGACTGCAATTAGGGACGCGGTCACACTCGGAATCCCACCAGATGATTAGGCCGACTGTTGCAACCGCGGGCCTGCCGCAAGCCTATCACCAGTTTTGCTTTCGGTAATCGTCTTCATATGCCCTTCATCTAAAGCGTTCTGGTTCACTTGTCTATTAACAGCATGAAAGTTGCTCCGCATCTAAACCTCTGTCCAGTAAAATAAACCGACAAGTATCCGTCGCGTAGTCCCGACAGGAACAGCATACCACGCTGATCGTGGGCGACTCAAGAGTCCACACAAACAGTCGTCCATAGTCGAACCTACATACATGGCTCACACCAGATGTCTCTGACGCGGAGATCCCTATAGACGGCTACTCTATTTTTCTAGCTGACTCAAAACGCGGGAGGGCTGGTGGGGTTGCTTTATATTTACATGTGGCCCTGTGCATACCGATTATCCTCTTTGATACCACGTCTGCACCTTTTTGCGATGCCTTGCGGATTCAAGTACCACTGCGCGGGACCGATTCTCTCCTCGGTGTCATCTACCATTACTCCTCAAGTACTCAGAAAAATGACCAATTCCTCAAACAATCCCTTGAGCAACTCTCCTCCAGCTACCATTTCACGCATCTCTTGCCAGTAGGTGATTTTAATGCCCCCAAGGCCTCCTGGGTGGAGGTCCAGTGCATCGGTCTAGTAGACATTTTGCAGCGGCGCAGACAAGTGATTCAACAAAGCGTTTGGACCCAACATGACGTCGCACCCTCCATATACCACGCAGGTCAACTACCATCCCTCTTGGATTTGGTCATCATCAACGAAAGACAATTCGTGATCATGTGTTAATTACCGCGCAACTGGGACAAAGTGACCACAGTGTGCTTATCGGTGATTCCAGCCCCTACTGGACCAGAAATCCTGATCCTTAAAAGTGGATTGAAAGCTCTCGTCATGCAGACACTTGGGAATGCGTATTGTTCTTGAGCAGTCAAAATTGTGACTATATTCAGTGGCAGAGGTATTGGTTGGAAAGTCCACTAGACTGACAAAATTCTCATCCCGAAATTTCAAAATTTGACTATAGTTTGCGCAGGACATAATATATAGAAATTTTGGAACAGCTGTAAATGGTCAATACGCCAAAGGAGCATAGGAGAGCAAGCTTTTATACTATACTCCGCACAGAAAAGCAGGTGTGCTGGCGAACACCTGCGTTCCCCTTGAGGGAAACGAATCGGTAACCAACCAGTTACATGGTAGCGGTATATGATTCTACAGTAGGCACAGTCTACACGCTGCAGAACTGTATATTGTTCCAGCGAAATCGTCACACCCAATCTTGTCAAAGCATAGCTACAAAAGACCTCTAGCCAACGCGCTCATCACGAAGGAGAACATTTGTGAACTACTGGACGAGACGAACCCATTCTGCATATTAATGCCAAATGAGCTCCATCCAGAGATTCTGAAGAAAACGCCGTTCACATTGGCAAAGCACTTCCACTTGATGTTTCGTATAGACTCATACCTATACGCAGTATTCACTAGGTTTACAAGCATAAGCAATGACAGGACCGTTCAAATAGCTTAGGATAGTACAAAAATGCACCTCGATTGGAACATTATGGCCACGGGAGTCATCATAGGCTTTTGCTATCACTGATAGGGTAACAACAAGACACTTTCACAAACCTGTGTGGTCCACGTATGAATACTATTTAAACGAGTTCCTGGCTTCAGCTATGAAATTTGATCAAACTCATACATGAAAAGCAGTGTGAAAACTAGAAGGTTTGGAACGCCAACAAGAGGAGTATTTTTCCATGCTGCATACCACAGTGAAATTGAGTCGGTGAAAAATTCAATCAAACTCATAAGGATGGCATGAAACGGGTGCTAAACCACAAGCAACGAAGGACTGCAACTAGGAACGCGGTCACACTCGGAATCCCGCCGTACGAGTGGGCCGACTGTTGCAACCGCGGGCCCACCGTAAACCTACCGCCAGTTTTGCTTTCACATGCCCCTCATCCAAAGCGTTCTGGTTCATTTGTCTATTAACAGCGTCAAATTTGCTCCGCATCTAAAATTCTGTCCAATAAAATAAACCGACAAGTACCCGTCGCGTGGTCCCAGCTGGAACAGCATACCACGCTGATCGTGGGCAACTCGAGAGTCCACACTGCAGACCACAGAAACTTCGCCAAATCAGAAAACTGCTGGCTGACTTTGAGGTGCAGTCCTACCCGAAGACGAGCCTTGCGGGAGCACCGCCACCCAGAACACAGAGCCTCACAGAAACACCTTGTCGATCAAACCGCGTCAAATTGCCCTAACTCCTTGAACAACAGCAGATGCCTCCGATGCGGAGATCTCGATAGACGGCTACTCTATTTGTCGAGCTGACTCAAAACGCTGGAGGGCTGGTGGGGTTGCTTTACATTTACATGCGGCCCTGCCCATACCGATTTTCCTCTTGGATACCACCCCTGCACCTTTTTGCGATGCCCTCCGGATTCAAATACCACTGCGCGGGACCGATTCTCTCCTTGTCGTCATCTACCATCACTCCTCGAGTACTCCGAAAAATGGCCAATTCCTCACGCAATCCCTTGAGCAACTCTGCTCCAGCTGCCAGTCCACACATCTCTTGCTGGTAGGTGATTTTAATACTCCCAAGGCCTCCTGGGTGAAGCTTCAGTGCATCGGTCTAGTAGATTTTTTCCAGCGGCGCAGACAAAAGTGATTCAACAGAGCGTTTGGACTCAACATGTCGGCGCACCCACCAGATACCGTGCAGGCGAACTACCATCCCTCCTGGATTTGGTCATCACCAACGGAAGACACTTCGTGATCAGGTGTTAATTAACGCCCACAGGGACATCGTGACCACCGTGTGCTTATCGTTGATTTCACCCGTTAATGGGACATAAATTCCGAGCCTCAAACGTGGATTCGAAACTCCTGCCATGCAGATATTTTAGAAATGCGCACCATTCTTGATCAATCAAAACTGGGACCAGCTCCAGTGAATGAGGCAATTAGAGAGCGAGTTTTTGGTTGTGCTACGGTGGGGTTGCTTTATATTTACATGTGGCCCTGTGCATACCGATTATCCTCTTTGATACCACGTCTGCACCTTTTTGCGATGCCTTGCGGATTCAAGTACCACTGCGCGGGACCGATTCTCTCCTCGGTGTCATCTACCATTACTCCTCAAGTACTCAGAAAAATGACCAATTCCTCAAACAATCGGGACATGTGTTGCGTATAAGTAACCATCGTTTGCTGGAGAGAATGCTGTTTTCCATGCCCCATTCGGAGTCGCAGCAGCAGATAGGTGGTCATTAACCCGGCCGAGGGTTATGAAAAAGTCACTCTCCTCCAGCTACCATTTCACGCATCTCTTGCCAGTAGGTGATTTTAATGCCCCCAAGGCCTCCTGGGTGGAGGTCCAGTGCATCGGTCTAGTAGACATTTTGCAGCGGCGCAGACAAGTGATTCAACAAAGCGTTTGGACCCAACATGACGTCGCACCCTCCATATACCTAGTCACCTCGGAATGATTGTGTTAAGCTAGCACTAAGAGCCTTCCCCGTCCACCTTTAATTCTTTTCTTCACAATAAGGCTTTCAAATAAATCATGGTTGTACGTTAGCGGCACGCCGGTGTTGAATAAAGATGTCATGCTGTCGATGATGATGACGCATACAGACCATAGAGCCAACGAGCTGCCCAGCGGCACATG